GATCCCCCCAAATTGAGCATGAGTACCGATGGGTGATGACTTCATGCAAAGTTTTTTATTGACCTTAGTTCCCCAATACAGCCAATGATCTCAGTGTGGCAGCCCCAAATTACTCCCGACTGTGGGTAATCTGTCATCATCACCCCCAAAATGTGGCCTCAGTTAACGTCCCACGAGGACAGAGATCAGTAAGCGAGGATCGCCTTCAGCTCCCAGGGCCCCCGTGGCCGGCTGCCCTGCCCGTGGGCCGCAGCAGTTGATGTGTCTACATTCCAGGTATGGAGCAGGTGGGCTGCCGGGGTCGTGGCAGAGCTCGTGGGAGCAGCGTTCCGGCCTGTTTCTCTGTAATCAGCTACAGAGCAGCTCGTGAAATTCCAGGTGAAATAATGAAGTCTGACGACTATGCTGTCGGGAGGCGGGCGCACGGCACCTCGCTGACCGTGGAGGAACCGGGGGCCGAGCCAGTGTTCGGCCGTGGAGCTAGGGCATGCAAAGGCCTGGTCGTGGACAGAGGACTTTGCCCTCCAGCAGCGACTGAGCGTCTTTGTGAAGGGAAGCCTTTGCTTTGGAGACCCAGCTACAATGGGACAAGTGAGAGGAGGGGAGGTGCTTCTTCATGGCCTTACCTCCTGGGCACCCCTGCCCCGGCCACCCCGTGCTGGGAGGCGCGTCTGGCAGCTGGGGCTCAGCCATACTCCTTAGAAACTGCCTCCCTCCTGCGAGGCACAGCGTCCTCCGGGCTGGAAATGTAAAATGGACGACCTATTAAAATCAATAGACTGTCAGGGCTGGGCTGGACAGCTTTGACACTCTGGTAGGTGGCAATTGGTGGACACAGCCCCCAGAGCGGCTGGCTGCGGTGACAGGGCCAGCACTGCCACTGGCCTGCGCTGTGTGGCGTCCTCCCGCGGTGCTGACCGAGCGCATCTCCTTGCTCTGGCCCGGCCCGGCCAGTAGAGAGCAGACCGCGTTCCTCAGCACGGTTTTAGCCACATCCCCTGGGAATGTGATCCCGTGAGGTTTTGGTGCCTGTATGGATGCAGATTAATTTAAAAAGACAATTCACGACAGATGTGAAGTATCAGTGACAAAGACAAAAAATGATAAATCGGCTATTGCAAGCTGTGAAAGAAAATTAATGCCCCCTTTTAATTCGTCAGTGCACCAAAAATAGGTAATAAATTGCTTACTATGGAAATTCTTTACAGACAAGTGTCCTAAAGTTCCAGGACAGGTGAGCTGGCTGTGACTCTGCACAAGTTTCCTGCCTCCAATGCTTGATTCAGCTGCAAGGTCTCCTAGGGCAGGTGGGGACACAGCCGAGTTTCTCTCCTGGAGTCCTGGGAGGGAGGAGGGGCTCTTTGGGGGTTCTGGACTCTGCTGTTGGGGGAGCGGCTCCAGGGTAGAGCCAGGCTTCAGGAGGCCAGTCTCCGCCTTTCCCACGGTCCTCCCTCCCGTGGTGGGACATGTCTGTCCATACCAGTGGGACCGGCAGGAGATCCCTGCTGCACAGGCCACCCTCTCCAGACAGAGCCATGTCTCTGCCAACAGGAACCCCTGGGAAAATGTGTCCCTGAGCCCCAGCTGTGTCCTGGCCACCCTCCCACCTGGGCTGCTTCAGGACTGATAGGAGTTTTTTTTCTCAGTTTAAATGGGACTTGACTACCTGTTTAAAGTCTCATTGATGTTTTGGGTCCAAGGGGACAGGGACCACACAACGTGTCAGCAACCCTCATTTGTTGCCCCATCCCTCCCCCCCGGTGATACTTAGGGTGGGAGGTGTGGGGGTGTAGAAAGTGGAGCTGGAGGATGTGGATGCTGCGGCCTTGGACAGGGCAGGGACGCAGGCTGCAGAGGCCTCGGCCCGCAGCCCCCCACCGGCTCCGGGAGACCGAAGGTGGGCGGGGCAAGGGCGTGAGGTCCACTCGTAACAGCTGCTGATTTTTGTGAGTTTTATTTTTTGTCCTCAACTTTGAGACTGGCGTGGAAGGCAGAGCTGTTAGAGAGAAGCCCAGCTCCCGGGATCACAAAGCAGCTTCTATGACTGAAACTCCCGACCCTCTCTGAGAGGAAACGGAGGAGGGACCGTGTGAGGAAAGCGGGAAAAGCTGACACTGCAGTTTCTGTGACCGCGCGGCCTGGGCTGGGCCCGAGGAGCCGGCTCTCGGGGACTTTCACTTTCCCCCTCCCAGCTGTGCCCCTGCCCCTTCTCCGTGGGACCGAGGAGAGCTTCCTGCCGCGGAGCCAGGAGCAGCCTGGTCTGTCCTCAGCTGGCTGCGGGCTGGCGGCCCACGGCTGGGGTGTTCGCCCCCAACCCGTCCTCCCGCTAGGGGGGCTGTGGAGCCCAGTGGGAGGGGCACGGGGCTCCGCAGCTGGTGGCCCTGCCACCCTCCCTGCCCTGAATGCACCCCAGGCGCGGTCCCCACCGTGTCCCCTGGACTTTCCGCCTGGGCACCAGCCTTTAGCCCAGGTAAGCAAACCACCAGGGACCACGGGTCGTTCACCTTCAGCTCTCCAGAGGGGCATCTAAAGCCATCTAGTGGTGACCCGGGACTAGCAGCCCCTTCGTTTACACCGGTTAAAGATCATTTTATTGCTTAGTACTTGAGGTGTTGGTAGCAGGTCCCCGGTTTCACGGGTGTGAAATGAGGGCCGAGACTGCGACCAAAAGCAGCGGGGCCTTGCCTCTGGCGACTAAGCAAGTGCCGGCGCAGGCAGCCCCGAGCCGCCTGGGGGCCCACCGTCCCCTGCCCCTCCCGCGCTCCGCGAGGCTGCTTGCGGTGGTGATGGAAACGTGGCCCAGCTCTGCACGGAGCAGACCGACAGCTTCCCACCTTCATCTCAGCGCTGAAATCACCGTTGTCTCTTATTTCTTGCTCTGAGCTTGCGTGACCCAGCCAAGAAGTAATTACACAATTAGGGATGACAAAGTAGTTCCCGTAACTCTCCTGTCCCCTAAGCTTGAGTGGTGTACTTAGTTCCACACCTTCTTCGGACAACAGAGGCCATTGTCAATACAATGCATTTGCCCACAGGTCAGGAGTCCTGTAGCACTGAAGGCTGAGGCAGGGCTGCTTACCTCTGTAAATGTGGCTCTTTGAAGTTCACAAGTACCCATGCGGGGAGCTGACGTGCCCCATAGGAACTTGACCAGCGGGTGTCACAGGTGAGGTTGGAGAGCAGTGACTGGGAGCCAGTCCCGCTGAGAGGACAGCTGCTGCAGAGGCCCAGAGGGTGTGCAGGCCCACGGCAGTGTTGATCGGGAAGGCTGCCCCTCGAGAGCTGTCTCCACGGCTGCGGTGTCACATAATTCTTTATTCTTAAATCAAAAGACCTGCACACGTATATGGTATTGTAATTGTTACTGATTTAAAATATCATCTCCCATTTGGAGGCTTATATACCATGTAGACCTGATCCTTACACAAAGAAGAAGAAAAAAAGTCTCCCTTTTTATTTGCTATTGAATGCAAAAGGAGAGAGCCACTTTCTTCTGCTCAAGACCTAATACTTTGCTTTACCTGGCCTTCCTGGAGGAAGACATCTCAGACCTTCTGCTTCAGTATCGGCTAACCTCGCACACAGCCCGAGGCAGTGTGGCCAGACTGGGAGGTGTCTGCAGGCTGGGAGGGACCTGAAGCCACTTGGCCCGTGCAGTTCTTCAGCCCAGCCAGCCTTTCAAGCCGGCTCCGGCCTGGCGGAGGCCGGGTGGCCCGCAGGCCCGCTGCCTCACAGCTGACGGCGAGTGCGCACCCAGGGCTTCCCGCGCAGGCAGGAGCTGCTGGAGCACCAGGGTCTTTCCTGGAGGCCGACGGAACATGTTGCCTGCGTGTGAGTTTACCGTCTCCCCCTTCACAGGACATTTGGTGCCAGGTAGGCCTGGACAAAGGAATTCTCCCGGGGTCCTGGGTGAAAGTTATATTTCTTCTGGCAGAGTTTATAGCAACGTTTTTCTTAATTATTCTTGAGGTTTTGCCCATTATACCATTAGCTTCTTCAGAGGACAGAGACAAATAGCCAGTATCCACAAGAACAGAGTGTGAACTGAAGGCGCTTAATTATTGATGTCTCAGGAGCTAAAGGTCTGCGGTGAGCGCGTCAGACCTCTGGCCTGACAGCAGACGTGCTGGTTTCAGAGGCAGCCGGAGACGCCACCTGTGAACCTGGAGGGAGACTGTCCCACAGACGGCAGCCTGTGGCTGTGCATTTTCTCGTGTGTTCCCCCGTATAACTAGTTTCACTTGCATGTGGATTTGGAGGCTTAGGTAACATGCAGGGTGTTGTTTTCAGCCATGTGGGGAGACATCCATCGCTGGCAGACTACTGTCCTTAAGTAAAATCCCGCCTTAGTCACATACATGTTGTGTGTATTTAGGTACATGAATATGTGCACATGTCTCCAATATGTGTCTGTTTGTGTACAGTACCTGTGTGTCCAGCCTGGCGTCAATGTTTCCACAGTCTTGTTCTTACCAAAGGGGTTTTCCAAAGTGAGCCTCATGCCTGTTTTTGAGCAGAATAACCAGAAAGCTCCCAAGTTACACCCTTGCCCTTTTGTTAGCTATCAGATCTGTTCCACGTGTAGGAAGGTAAGGACTCCAGGTGTTTATCTTGACATGTAGATAGAACTCATCGCATTTTCAATTATCCCAATTTTTTATTTTACTGTCTCTAAAGTGTAGAGTATGATTGCCAGGGTTTAAAAGATAAATGGAAATCTTTTGCTGTTGGGCAAACAGGCACCGATAACCTGTAGGCCCAGACTCTAGAACCTCAGGTTTCAGGTGTCAGAAAAGAAGGGAATTTTATAGTGACACTAAATGTTTTTGTGGAATCCAGTTGACTTTTGAACAGCAGGAGGGTGAGAGGGGCTGGCCCCCCGTGCACTTGAAAATTTGCTTATAATGTTTGACTCCCCAAAACTTACCTGCTTATAGTTGACCCTAAAGCAGATGTGTTAATCAGCTGTTACAATAACGTAAGCAGTTGATTGACACATTCTGAGTGTTACATGTTATGTCCTGTGCTCTTACAATAAGTAAGCTGGAGAAAAGAAACCTTTACTGAGGAAATCATAAGAAGAAAATACGTTTGCGTCACTGTCTGCACTCACTGAATGCGTCCCCCAGAAGTGGGCCCACGCGGTTCAAGCATGTGTTCAAGGCTGAGCTGCATTTCTCTGAATGTGTGGCCTGCAGTGCCGTTCGCCATGGTCATGATAATTATAGTTTTTTCTTATGGTTTTTTACCGATTTGCCTTTGTTTTCTCACAGTGTAAACTGACGTCCCAGTTCTCCCCCATAAAAAGGACTGGTGGGATTCCCTGTGTCAGGAAGAATTTGTGTTGCAAGATAGCAAGTTTCCATAGGGAAAAAAGCTCCGAGGCCCCTATTCGAAGGAAGGGTCCCTAATCTTTCCTGCATGAACCCTGTGCAGTCGGGTGAGGTTCATGATGCCTTCTCACCGCAGTGTTCTCGAAGGCGTATGCCATTTCCGTAAGAAACAGAACCCTCTGCTTTCGGCAGCCTGTGTGCTGGGGGGAGTGGGTGGGCTGTCGCTTCCCCGGGCTCCTCCAGCCGTGTTCCTCGGGTGGGGCGTGTGTGCACTGGTCTGTATGGCATGGGGTTCCCATCGGAACCCAAGGCTGCCTGAGATTCTGGGAGGTTATTTATTTGAAGTTACACAGATGTTTGTGGAAGGGAGACTGAGACATGGGCACTTGGAGCGCACAGCTGACCCTGAGCAGAGGGCCACCTGTCCTTAATGTGCTCCATGTGCTCTCTTGTCCCCAACAGCAACAAGCATGCTTCCCTCTGTGACTCTTCCTTGGAAATTAAATAATGAGTCTCCATAAGATACTTGCTCACAGCCCAAAGCTGCATATCCACGAGAAAGTGACTTAGAGGGAAGTATCATGAGAGGTAAGCTCCACTCTCACTCTGAAGGCGCCAAGCGTTCGGGTGTGCACACACACACACATGCCATGCAAGCACACACATGCACACTCATGCATGCATATGCACATGCACACACATGCACACCTGCACATCATGCACATACAGACACAAGCACACTCACATGCACACATGCATGCACATGCACACACCTGCACACCTTCACATCATGCATGCACATGCACAAATGCAGGGCTACTTGACAGGAGCTAGAGATACAGAGCCCTGAAAGGTTTGACGATAGCTTCCCCTCATGAAACTAAATACATTTAAATTTTTTTAAATTAAAAAACAAAATAATAATGCACATAATACAAAACCCAAGTGGACCAAAGGGCAAACCATGAGAAGAGAGTTCCCCTCCCTCGGGCAAGTGCTGTTACCGTTTTGTGATATATCCACCTGCACATTTAATGTCCTAAATCCACATACACTGCCTTTCTGTTTACAATTAAAAATATAGCTTAGATATCTTCAATTTACTTTGACAAGTATCCAAAAATTAAGATACATGGTTGGATGAATAGACACATTCGTGATAATGCAAGTAAAAACCACGTTAAAGTGAGGTCTTGGGGGTGGGTGGTTGCTCTTTGTGTGCAGGTTCCCAGGAGAGCGGTGGCAGGAGAATCCTCTCTGAGCACCGTGTGTCACGCCTCTTACAGCCTCAGTTACCGTGTGCACTGCGCTGTGCAGAGCTGCCTCCTGCTTTTCCAGGGTGGCCTGTTTCTCAATGAACACGTTCCCTCTGGATGGACATCTGGCTGCTGCTGGTGTCTTTTTTTCAAGCAATGCCACACCCCTCCGCTCACATCTGCGTACAGTGGCACCCTCCGCATGCCTCTGTGGGAACAGTGCTAAAAGCAGGATTGTCAGCTGAGGTACATTCAGTTAACAAAATGATAAATACCAAATTTGTCTCCATAAAGACTGTGGGCCTGAGCCCTCCGGCAGTGGTGTGGGCGTGTGGCCGTGACGTCGATGGTGGTCAGAGCTCAAGGGACAGGCCTTGCAGTCAGCAGCCTTCCGCTGCTGAGCATCTGAGCAAGGATGGGATGGGAAAGGTCAGGGATCCTCATGTTAATCTCAGACTCTTTGGCTTTTTTAATTTAAATCTCTGGATGACAAAGCAGGTGTGACATTCCTAGGACAGAGCCCTTTAGATTCCGCTGGCCTGACAGCTTCGTTGGGTGGAGAGGAAGCTGAGGCCAGACAAGATCAGCCCCCATTCCATGGTCACTTCCTGGCGGAGCCTGGCTCAGGCCCGGAGTCTCGAACCTGGCTCTCTTTGGCTGTTGGGAGACCGCACAGTGGGCACCCCAGGACCTGGGGTGCTCATGGAGCCCGGTGGCCGGGCACAGAGGCGTCACCAACTGATCTGTGTTTAGCCCCGCAGTGTTGAGCAGAGGTGGCCGGCTGTGGCATGCAGCTCCTGACATAATGACTGTAGAACGCTGAAAATGTCCTTTTGGGTTTTGGCTGAATAATATTTAAGGGTTTTGAAACAGTGACTTAATTGTGTTTTTATGTAATTGATGGCGTTGTAGTGAACGTACTGAGACACTGCATCAGCATTTTTCTAACTGTTCCTTGGAGAAAAACATGCTCCTATGAAAATGGTTTCTTCACTTTCCACTCATGGAGTTGAAACGAAAACAACGCTGTGCTTCCCTGGAACCGCAGTGCCCAGAGATGCTCTAATTCTAGAGTGTTTTCCCCTCTGGGTGTGGCCTGAATAATGCCAGGCTACCTCGCCTTTGAAGTTGGGTCATCCCTTATTTTGGAAGCAACGCAGGGCATGGAGCGGCCGATCGTGTCAGGAAGTTGGTGCAGAGCCCTGTGTGTGCAGATTTTGTGCCAGTCCTGTATCCCCATCGGTTGGCTGCAACGGGCCAAATGAGGCCTGAGCGTCCCAGCCTGTCACCCCTGCTGTGGTCCCTTCTGCTCGGGCCCCTGCCTCTGCTCACGGCTTTGGGATTGGAAGGTGCACGAAGGAGAAGCTTGCTACTCAGGAATAGCTCCCATTCCCAGAAGTTGTGTGTGACCTTGAGGCCCTCATAATTTTATGTTGGCATCAGAGAAATCAGGGCAATTAAATCCTATTAGTTTTCCTAGTCTTCTCACTATTGTTTATATGGGGTGGGGGGCTGCAATTCAAAGCAACAGTAAGAATTAATTTTGGTCCAAAATCTTGCTACTTTGTGATTTTGTTCTGAAGAGTCAAGCTGTGAACGTTGAAAACGTGAACAGGCGCACCTGGCCGGGTGGCTCCGTCGGGCGGAGCGCTGTCCCATACGTCAAACGGTGTCGGGCTCGGTCCCCGCGTGGGGCGTGTGTAGGCAACTGACGGATGCTCCTCTCTCACATCGATGCCCCCTTCTCTCTCTAAAACCAACGAAGCGTATCCACGGGTGAGGACACACAATTTTCAAGCAGTTGCTTTCTAATTATAGAAAACTCGCAGGAACTCACAGGTTTGCTCAATTAAAAAATAATAGTAATGCTTCAGAAGCGCCCTGGCTGCCGTCCTGGTGGCACAGCCGCCGTGTGCCGCTCTGTGAGCCGGTGCTTGAGGGGTGTGCGCAGACCCTGGGGGTGCAGGCAGCCAGCCTCAGGTCGTGGCCTCAGCGACGCTTCTCTCCTGCCATGTTTGGTTGTGATGTCCCCGTGACGGTGGCCACTCCTGCACTCCATGGGGACCTCACCCAGAGAAGAATGTGCAGCACCCCCTGGGGCGGGGGGCCCAGCGGCTGCCTTCGCCGTCGGGGAGAAAGCTTTCCAGTGCGCGGCAGTGTGGGAAGGCGGGTGGGCCGCCGTTCTCGGCAGGAACCACGCGTGGCCGGGCGTGGCCGGGCTCTGCCTGTGGTCTCGGCGCGGGCCTTTCTCAGGGTGCCTCGTGAATATCCTGATGTGAACGCCCTGCAGTTCGTTAGCCGGCTGTGCGTGCTGAGACGACTTTAATCTGGTGCTCCCACTTCATAGAGTTCTTCGACATTCGGTCCTTGTAGAGGTGAAAACAAAAACCACAACAAAAATCAGAACAAAAGAGTATGGAAGAAAACTGTGCATTGACAGGATAATACTTTCTCTTTTTACTTAAATGCCAAGCTCATGTGTCTTGATGTCTGAAATAAATTCAATTTTTTATAATTAAACTTATTTACAGGAGTTCATCATTGAATCATAGCAGTTTTTTCTAATTTGTAAAACACTCTTATCGTTGAATAGTAAGGATTGCCCAATGCCTGCGACAGGCTCACGGCTCTGCTGTCCTCCGTGGGCTCACGTGGTGGACACTGGTGGACGGGTCCGGGCTGAGGTGGGCAGTGCCCTCCCAGCAGGCAGAGGAAGACTGGCCTTTGGCATTGGGAATGCTGAACAGGCACCCCTCTGCGACTGTCTCAGCATCTGCCAGCAAAAGATGTGTTTAAAACCATTTCCATGGGAAAGGTGCCCTCAACCCAGTGTTGTGTGCAAAACGCAGGTCACAGACCCAGCACCGGCCCCACACGCCCATGCACGTGTTGTAACAGGAAAAGGGAATTTGTACCTCAAACCCCAAATTCTCTTTCTTTGTCTTTGCCTTTTCTTCTTTGTTTTCCAAATTTTCAGCAACGGGCACTGTCACTAACCCTGACACCCGGTGTTGGTGGTTCACCTGTGAGAGGCCCTTGTGGCTGGGCCGAAGAAAACGAGTCGTTTCATTCATTCATTCTTTCGCAATTCCTTCTCACCGCCTTTTGCCTGGCCTCAACCCGAACTCTCTCTTACACACACACTCACGCACCCTGGGGGGAAGCGGCACTTTCCACACTGGGGGGCTGTGCCCGTGGGGCGATGGGAGGGTGCAGAGTCCACACTAGATGCTGACCTGGCTGCCTCACCTGGACTTTGTGGGGTTGGAGTGTTTTATGCAGTCTCCCGGCACGAGTGGATTTCAAAGCAGCTCTAAGCAGAGCCCAAGGCTACAAATCAAGCTTAGTTCAGGTAACCAGACGTGTGCTCACTGAGAGAGGCGTCTTTGGGGCGTTTCCGTGATGACCCGTTTGGGGATCCCAGGGCGCGCCCGAGGGGTGCCGTGAGGTGTCGAGGTGGAGCTAGGCCATGGGACCCATGAGCGGCGTCCAGCCCTGCCTGTCTCCAGGTCACCACCATCACCACCTGTGTCTGGGGTGCAGTGTTCGGTGGGGTCAGAGGATTCCCTTAGATACGGGGAGCTGGGAGGGGCGGGGAGGCCTATGGGGAAAGCGGTGAAGCACCGTATGTTGCTTGTACGTTTTCACTCTCATCTTCACCACCAGCGCCCTGTTACATTCTGTGTGTGTTGAAAAGTGCAAGACACACACATTGACACTTGCTAAGGTGTGATTTTGACATCTTGGGGTAGACAGTCACCTCTTGGAGGCTGCAGCACAGGCTGCCTGTCTTACCGCCGGCTCGCAGCACCTCAGCACAGCCCTTAGGGGAGCGAACCGTCTCTTTCTCCGTCACTCCGCCGAGTTCGACCCTGCTCTGGGCTCAGTAACATCCTGCAACCAGAGATAAAAATGTTCCCCAAAGCCCCAGGAACTCCCAGGCCTGCAGCTGAACCCATTTCTGCTTGGTCTAGAGCACCAAGGGCCAGGGAGGCAGTGTCTAAGGCCGCCCTGCAACCAGGCTCTCCTTAGCGATGTCTACACCTGCCCGTGTTTTATCGCAGCACCCTGCAAAGGTCAGGGAGCAGCCTGGTTACGCAGGTCATCCTGAGCAGGTGCCCCTTCTCCAGAAGGGCAAGTGAAGAATCTGTAGCTCCAACCCAAAAATAACTGCAGATCCTGTCCTTGGTGGGGGACCCAGAACAGATCTGTAACACCACCCGTCGGCTCTCAGAGAGACATTTTTTGCCTGGCCCATCTTATTTCTTTTAAGATTAAATAATATTCACACAAGGGAATATTACAGAGCAGCAAAAAGGAAGGAACACAAGCCACATGCAACAGTGGATGATCTTAGAAACACAGCAGGGGGAAGAAGAGAGCCCAAGCGACGCACATGGCGGCGGTCGGTTCTGGGGAACTCGAGCGTGAACGTGAACCGGGCCGCCTGGGCCCTGCTGTGACACACAGGAGGCCTGCTGAGGGGGCCCTGTGGCGGTGCTGTGGTTCGCTTTCGTGATTTGGTTTGTCATTATGTGGATCTATCACAGTCTAAATGACACGAACTTCGGTGTGTATCAAATCTCCCAGGAGAAAGTGGTTCTGGGCGTGGCCTTGCTCTGAATGACGACTCTTGAGCCCACTGTCACAGTGATGTTTTAGTTTGGGGAGATTCAATAAGAAGCTATTACTTCTATCAGCCGTTTATTTTGAAAAGAATTATGAACCAAAGGGCTGTCGCCGCTGTCTCTGGGGCTGCCTCCAAGGGCCCTCGGTGTCATCACGTCACGGTCCTCCCCACGCGACTCAGCGTATTCTTCAGCCTTTCCAGTGACGGTTGTGCTTTTGAAGGTGAGAAAGTGCTTTGTTGTGACTGTTGTCATTCTGGCCACCGCCCCTCGCCCAAGTTCTCTGAGCGGAAGCGCTTTCCCTGTCTGGCGGTGCTGGGCGCCTGAGTGCCTGCCGGTGTGTCCCCGCAGGACATTGGTGTCTGCAGTGGCTCAGGTGACAGCCCAGGCGCAGAGCTGGGCTCTGCGTTACCCTGTGTGCTCATGCTGGGCTTCAGACATCTCGCTTCTCAATGTGGTTTAATTGTTTGTGTCACTGAATGATTTTCATATGTGTTCACATATATTTTTAATTCCTAATGAAATCTCTAAAAATTTTATTGGAAACAGTGATTTGTGTGCAAAATTCTTAAAGAATAAAAAAAATTTCCATGTTTTGGATGGAAGCCTTTTGTGTTTCTAGCATCCTTCTCTGTGCAGCAGAGCTGGGCGCCCGCACCCCACTCGCCTGTCTCGCTGCCGCGTAGCTGGGTGGTCACCCACCCTGCCCGAGTCTGCCCCAAGTCTTCCTGTTCTCACTCTTTAAGGGAGTGAATTATGTGACTTAACAGGATGGTTTCAATGCAGGCTTCTGTCCTGAGACCTGCTCACCCAGGAAAGCAGCTCTTCAGGTCCCGAGGGCCGGGCTCACCTGGCCACCGAGGAGCCTGAGCTGAAATTAATGAGGCGCCATTAGCTCTGGCACCAGGCTGGTGGGAATGGCCGAGGCTGCAGGAGGGACCCCAGGAGGAGCCAGAGACGCTGCAAAGCCTGCTCTTGGGATGCGCTCGCTAGTGTTGGCGACCAGATCGTCTCCTTCTGATGCTGCAGATTTTATCTGTTAGAGATGCCAAGTTAGGGTACTTTTATTGAAGGAACTTCCTGCTAAGTTTCTGAGCCATAGTTGGTTTATGACATAATTGCTCTACATGTTGATACGATCTTTTATCATAATTGTTTTTCATTGTTTTTAATAACGGGTTAAAAATAATAGAAGACATTTTAGAAGGTGGGTTTTTTGTCCTGTTACTCATGATACTAAAAATTACCCAAAATAAGATATTTTACAAAAAGGATTTTGTTCCAAAAGTGACTAATTTAAACAGTTTGTACAATGAACTTGCTAATGATCCTCAGCTGAGAGGAGGGTAATGCTTTATACTGTTCTCACTTTTATGAATAGAACTTTGCAGAAAGCTCCTATTGTGTTGTACAGTGAGCTTCACACAACCATCCTTTATCAACAGATGGCAACCAGCACATGAAAAATAATTAAAAAATAAAATGAAAAGAAACCGAGAATGAATTAAAGTGCTTCTTTGCGTCCTGATCTGCATTTTTGGTTTAGAATTTTATGGTGAATTGCCATAT